GAATTTAGCCCATTTACATTTAAGGTTAGTATTGTTATGTGTGAATTTGATCCTGTCATCAAGATGCTATCTGGTTATTTTGCACACTAGTTGATACAGTTTCTTCATAGTGTCATTGGTCTTTAGGAATAGTAAGGAGGCCATGGATGGGGCAGAGTGAGTGAGGAAGAGATTAGATAGATGGGTCAGAGATATGATGGTGAGCCAAAAAATGTAGGGCTTTTGTAGAAATTTTGGCTCTAACTCTGAAGAGAATAAGGTGCCTTTGCAGGACTTTGAGAAGAGGAGTGCCATGATTTGACTTATATTTTAAAAAATGCTCACTTTAGTTTCTACGTTGAGGATACAAAAATTAGGGAGCAAGACTTGAAGTAGAAAGACCAAACTAATTCAGTTATCCAGATGAGAGATGATGGTGGATTAGGCTTTATGCATACAAATGGAAATGATAAGTGATTGGATTTTGGATGCATTTTGAAGTGCAGCCAAAATAATTTCCTGATGAATTGGATGTGTAGTGTAAAAGAAAGAGAGGAATTGAGGGTGATATCAAGATTTTTGACATGACCAAATGGATGTCAGAGTTGCCATCAATTGAGATGGGGAAGGCTGTAGTAGGAGTGGGTATTGGAGAAAAGACTAGGAGTTAAGTCTGCGACATTTTGAGTTTGAGATGTCTATAAGACATCTGAGTGGAGGTTCTGAGTAGGCAGTTGTATATATCAGACTGGAGTTCAGGATGTTGATGTGGCCTGCAGACATGAATATAGAAACTGTTAACATAAAAAATGTTTTCTATAGCTATTGGACTGGGAGATATCACCAGGGAAGTGTAGATATAAATGAGCAGAAGAACAGGGACTGAGTTCTAAGTGACTCACATTTAAACAGGTCTGAGAGAAGAGGAGGAGTTGGTGAAGATGGAGAAAATAGGAGAGTGCAGTGCCTTGGAAGCCATGTGATATAAGTGAAGTGAGAAGAACTCAGACATGAACTATGCCAAATGATGCTGGTAGTTCAAAATGAGGGATTAAGAATTGACCATTGTATTGAGCCATGTGAAAACCATTCATGACCTTGACAAAAGTAATCTCAGTGGAGTGGAAGAGGTGAATACCTGATTGGAATGTGTTGAAGAGAGACCAGGAGAAGAAAAATTGGAAACAGGAAACTGTTAAAAGAGGATGAGAGAGTAGTCAAATGGATATCTGAGGAAAGAACTTTCTTGACATACGGAATAGATATTGTAAAGGCCCTAACACAATAGTGAGCATGGCTTGTCTGAGGAATAGTAGGGAGGCCACACCTGGAACAGATGGGGTGAGAAATAGAATAGACAGAGAAAATGGAGGATAAGAAAGGATGATTGGGGATCCTTCTTGATGCTAGATTGATGTAGATAGAAAGCCTAGGGGAGTGTGGTCTTAGGTCAGGAGTCCTGGTTCAAATAATGCCTTATATTGAACATGAAAACATATATCACATGTAACTGTAAAAGAGATTTCCATCAAAGGGGAACAAAGAAATGGGATAATGATAGGTAGGAGAATAGGAGAATTGAAGTCAAGAATATGTATATATAAAAAGAATGTGCAACTATATATATATATATATATATATATATATATACACACACACACACACATATATATAATAATGTGTGTACAGATAGATAGGTAGATAGAAATAAGAGTACGATTGTATCCTGAGAGAAACGATACAGTATAGAGTACAATATTGATGATGCTAGACATAAGGAAGAGAAAGATGGTAGAAACATCACTGAATTGGTTTGAGAGAAAGAGATGCAGTGGGAAAGGAGAGGAAATTTTAGACAGGAGCCTAGAAATTTCATGTATGCTATCAGCAGGAAAGTCATATAGTAGGCAGGTGCAGGTGGGTGAAGTGATGTGGTGATAGGGGTCTGTGATGGTTAATATTAATTGTTAACTTGATTGGATTGAAGGATGCAAAATATTGTTTCTGGGTGTATTTGTGAGAGTGTTGCCAGAGGCGATTAACATTTGAGTCAAGGACTGGGAGAGGCAGACCTACTCTCACTCAACTGGCTGCCAGCATGGCTAGAAAAAGCAGGCAGAAGAAGGTGGAATGAGCAGACTTGCTGAATCTTCCAGGCTTCATCGTTCTCACATGCTAGATGCTTTATGCCCTCTAACATCAGATTCCAAGTTCTTTGGCTTTTGGACTCTTGGATTTATACCAGTGGTTTTCCAGGAACTCTCAGGCCTTCAGCCACAGACTGAAGGCTGAACTGTTTTGGCATCTCTACTTTTGAGATTCTGGGACTTGGCCTAGCCACTACTGGTTTCCTTGCTCCTCAGCTTGCAGATGGCCTATTGTGACACTTCACCTTGTGATCATGTGAGTCAATTCTCTTTAATAAACTCCCTTTCATATATAATATATCGTATTAGTTCCGTCCCTCTAGAGAACCCTGACTAATACAGGGTCTGTGGAAGTGTTCTTCTGAGGGCTACAGTTTTCTAGTGTAAATAGAAAGCAAAAGAGTTGGGGTGGGGAGGTTACAGAGAATATGAGGGGAGAGAAGGCCATGAGGTCTAAAGAGTGATTACCTGTTAACATTAAAGGTCTGTTTTAAGTTAATGATCATAAATTTAAATTGAAATGAGTCATGTAGTTATCTATTTTCTTTTGGCCAGATTTATCTTTGTAGGCTGAGGCTTGTTGAAGTGTAGTTGAATTTAGCCAGGGTTACTATTCCTAGGAAGCAATACAAAGTGAAAAGGCAGGACAGTGGAAGGTATATGTATATGAGTGATTGTAAAGACTGAGCATGACATTTGAGCAAGGGAAGGAGGGGAGAGAATACAATTAAGGGAAGAAGAGATAATGAAAATTTGACAAGATCAATGTATTGAAGATTCTGGTGAGGTTGAAAGAAAGTAGGACCCAAAGACAGTTAGCTGAAAAGAGAGGAGGGTATGGTCAGAAAGGGGGATGTTTGAAACTGAGATTATGGAGGGGTTCCAATAATTATAGTGACAAGGGCTAGAGTACGACTGTGTGAGTGACCGAGGGGGAGTTGAGAACAATGTTATGAAGCAGAAATGTTCAAGGAACTGAAAAGACCAGTTGGTCAGAATTATCATCCTTGAACTTACTAAGAATTAAAGCAGGGCAACTACCTTTGAGAATGACTGTGTTGTAGAAGCTAAAATCTTTGAGAAATGAGTGGGTAATACTTGAAATTTGTCATATGACACAACAAAGGCTAGTCAATGACACAACCTGTCAAAAGCTGGAAGTTTTTAGAGGGGCGGGAGGGGGATTACAATCTAAAGTCAGCAATGAGAATCAGTAAAGTCACTTACATAAGCTTTAGGATCTGTGGTACAGGGGTGGTAGGAGTAAAAAATTCATGAGTAGGCTTCAGGGGATCTAGAATCCTCATGGAAGGGGGAATTCGGAGAAGAGATTTAAAATATGGAGGAATTACTAAGGGTGCATGGCATTTTATTAGTAGAGGAGGGGTGAGAAAAGTGAACTAAAGAAGGGGTGTGGATACAGCCTTATGGAGGTTAGAATGTATAAATTGAAGAGTGTCTTGGGGTTACTGGCACAAATGGAGATAAATGTCATCATTAGAGAAGTTCTAATGATTCAAGGCACATCTGGTTTCAGGATTTTGAGGTTTGGGCTATGGAAGGGTAGTTGCCTGGAGCTTCCTGTCAATCCCAAGTGATGTGAGGGATGTGGTCTTAGACTTGGATCACTGGTTCAAACAGTGCTTCATTTTACACACGAAAACAGAAATGACATTGATCTGTAATAACAGAAAAATAGGCTAGAAACTACACATAACATTCAGGATAGGAGTAGCCCTGGAGAAGTGGGAAGGGGAAGGAAAATGTAGTCAGGGTCAAGGAAACCTCGATTTTTTCTGTAAAGGTTTCATTCCTTAAAAGAAAAACAAAATCAATATACCTAAATGTTAACAACATTGAAATCTGAGTAGTGGAAACACTGGTGTTTGTTATATTTAATGCCAGGGACGTTGTAGGCACTCAATATATTATTTGTTGAATGACTATGCCTTTTTGTTTTAAAAGTTTCTCCATCAAAACATACACAATTCTCAAATTAGCAGAAAGTGCTACAAAAGCAAAGAAAAGGTAATGAAGTGAGGTGGGAAAGCTTGAGAAATCCTTGTGGAAAGAGTGACATATGATCTATATGGACGTATACCAACAGACACGCGGTGCAAGCTAAAGGCATAGCTCTACCTCCGTCTTAACGCTCTAAGGTTCTGGGTGAGAATCCAGGAAATGATCTTGAACGTTTAGTCCTTTCAAATAAATACCAGGTCCGCAATTTTGTCTTCCAACAGACACTGGGTGGCGCTGTTGTCAAAAAATCCCTCTCTATCACGGATTTGTTCCTTCCATCTACAGACATCTCCACAACTAGTGTGTCCTGTGGGCCAAAGGGCTAGGGATTGGGATGTAAAGGCGAATAGCGTCAGTTGGTCTGTGGTGATTATCAACTGCTATTGTGTCCAGTGGCTGAGAACGTTGCAAATGTGACTTTGCCATTTCATGGGCGAGCAGAGCTGTCACAGAAATGTCCAGTTGAAGGGGCGAATGGTTCCGAACCACCCACTCGCGCCATGAGAGCCCCTACTCCACGACCTGGCCCAGGATTAGAGCAGAAAGCACCGAGCCCCAGTCCCAACCTCCCGTTAGGTTGTCAGAGCCTCCTTAGGCCCCACTGGCTATGAAAAGCCGACAGCGCCTAAATACCGGTCATTCCGCTTGGACCCCGGTCAGGAGCTCTAAGCTCCCTGGGCCAGATGCGTCCGCTTATCGAAGAGGCCTCCGTCCGTTGTCGTGAAGGAGTGAGTGTACCTGGGGTGAAGGGAATGCGGCCCCTCAGGACTGACAGCGGTGGGAGAGGCCCGGGAGGCGGGGTCTGGGTGGGCGGGGTCTGCTCTGACGTCACGAAGCCCCTGACTGCAGAGGAGACGGACGGTGGGCGCAGGCTCTGGAGGCCCAAGCGGAAGAGGGGAAGGAGGCGAGCCCGGGAGCCCTCGGCCAATGGGAGAGGCCTGAGGCGGGGCCGCCACGGGGCTTAGCACGGCGGGGCTCTGCGCGGGAACGCGAACCTGGTCCGGAGCCGGCCTCGGTCTCAGCCCCGCGGGCGGCCTTTCCCGAGTCTTCAACCCTTCAGGTGAGGACGTGCGGCCTCGCGGAGCCCGAGGACCACGGGGACGGGAAGGCGTGGGGGTCGCGAGCTGGGGAAGCCGCGCCCGCGGGAGCCAGAGCGGCCGGGGTTGGGGCTGGCGCTTCGCGTCTGCACCGCCGCCCGGCCCGGCGAGTCCGCGCCTTTGTCCTCCCCCGGGCGGGCGCCGCCCTCTGCGCGGGATGCCGAGCCCTCCCGGGGGTGTGAAACAAGGCCCCGCGGTGGGGAGCGGGGGCGAAGCCGTAAAGCGGCCCGTGCGCGGTGGCTGCGGGTCTGAGGCTTAGGGGATGAGGAGTTCGGGGGCCGCCGGGAACGGGCCCTCTGGGGCTGGGCCCTCGTTCCCTCTCCTCCCACGGCCGTCGGGCTGGGCGCCCGGCAACGCTCATCGTTCCCTGGAAAAGTGTGCCGGCTGCTCCTGGCAGCCTGGCCTCTGCGCCCGGCCCTGCTGTTATTTATGGGCTAGTTCCACTTCCCAGCGCCCAGCTTGGAGTCTGGTCGCTCGCCTGGGTCACCTCGACGGAATGGAGGCACGTTCGGCACTTCTGGCTGCTTGGGGGCCTCTCCATTCTACCCGAGGCACCAGGCCAAGTGTCGTACTCCCCCACGGTGGGGCCGGGCTCGCCCACCAGGGCTCTGCCTTGCGATTTCTGGGATATCCTCTGGTCTCTTCTGGACAAACTCGGGACGCTCACAGGGCGCCAGGCATTCCGTCAGGTCCACAGCCATGCACCCCTGAGCCTCCTCTCTTTGCGTCTCTCTCTGCAGAGAAACGATGGTGAAGGAAGACACACTTAGGTTTGGTTTATTCCATTTTGCTCGAGTCCTGGGTCGTCTCATCCTAGTTAGCTGTTCCTTCTTACAACGTGTGCAAACCAATGCCACGAGGAGCTATGATGAGACGTCTATTGTAGTGTCTTAATGTTCGTCTGTGCTGCTCCCCGTCTCCTAGGAAAAATACCAAAGATCCAAAGTAATGTAATAGAATGTGAAGATGCTCGAATAGTGCTATCTGCTGCTATAAAATCGTTAACTGGTTAAAGCCGGTCTTTATTTTTGCTTCTATCTCTGTCTGATCTTGTGCTTCTCTCACCTCCATTTTACCGTTGCTGTGATTTAAGAGTCAGACATATTGGCTCTGGGTTTCTAGAACATCTTGGTTTCTGGTGCATTCTGATCCAATGGCATTTACTGCCTACCAAAAATGGGCTACTGATGTGGAATGGAAGATTATTCTAACAAAAATATAACTTTTCCAAGATCTGTTGCTGTTTTTCTGTTGAAAATCAGTGGGTAGAATATACATTGATATGAAATGTGAAAATTTTTGCTTGTGACCCCTTAGTCCGAAGATAGTTCTGCCAGGTAAATTTTCTTAAAAGTATTTTTTCTTTTCAGGCTATCTTTTAGTCAAGATGAGTGATAAGCCAGACTTGTCAGAAGTGGAGAAGTTTGACAGGTCAAAACTGAAGAAAACTAATACTGAAGAAAAAAATACTCTTCCTTCAAAGGAAAGTAAGTCATGGGGGGGGGGATTCTAGTGGAAACAAACAATAGAGAATGTCAATAGGTTCAGTAAATAAACCTATCTTCTAGTAACTTTCTGCCACAAAGTAAGCAATAATTAGACTACCATGGTATTTAATATAACGGTTAAAAATATCAAATAGTTGTCTTCTTACTTGGGTTATATAAGTAGTTCTCACGTAAGTCTTAATAAGAATGAGGGAAGCCTAGTTTCTTGTTGGAAAATTACTAAAAACCACCTTAAAATCAATCTTGAAACATTGGATTTAATACTAGAAACCTTAGTATTGTTCACTTTATGCTTATTAGACATTTTTCTGCATCCGTCAATTTGGATCAGTGATCTTACACCCAAAGCCATGCAAACGTTGCAGTTTTGTCCTTTTCTACCTGATGATGAGATAAAGAAGATGAACAAGTTTAGATCTTGGGTGCAATTAAGGCTCCCAGACTCAAGGGATAAGTGATCACTTCTGCCTTCCAGAAATAGAGCCTGCTGGAGAAACTCCAATTGTATTTGCAGAAGTTGAGGGGAACTTTTTGTCTTTTTAGCTTTAAGAGTTCCAAAGTCAGCCAAAATTGTCTGAAAAGGTATAACTTCCTAGTTGTATATGAATAGATAAATCCAAAGAAATTGCTTCATATCTCAGTCTTGAATCATCTATGAAAAAATGGCAACAGCATATCTCTATCTCTCAAATGGGAAGAAATACTCCACAGTTATAGATTCTAATGAATATTCAGGTAGTTAACATACACACATACATGCACACACCCTATTGTGAGGATTTGTGGTTAATGATTTGGCATTCTAAATTTAAAGCATTTATACAGACTTTGATGACTCAGCAAGGAGCTCTTTTGGAAGAAACTGAACTTAACCTTAGGAAAATATGGTCTTAATTTGTGTTTGTTTGTCTTCCCAGCTATCCAGCAGGAGAAAGAGTGTGTTCAAACATCGTAAAATGGGGATCTCCTCCCAACAGCAGATTTCAACATTACCTGAGAGTCTTGGTTTAGGCTTGTTTTTTGTAAACCCATGTGTTTGTAGAGATTTTAGGCCTCCTTGGATGTCTTCTCACCTGTGTTCCCTGGCTAAGAAGTCAGAAGTAGCCAATGTTTCCTTAAATTGATTTTTATACTTACCATTGGTGCTTATGTTCCAGATGGCAGATGATGTCAATAATCTCACCATTGATGATCTTTGTGTATGTAGTTCTTGCATAAGCCTGTTTTAACCTGCTGTGATAGGTGCCTTCATTGCTTCATAATCTTCATGAAGTTAAATGCTTTTGCAGCCTTTCACAGTTTATTTTCATTTCTAATGTAGTAATAAAGTAACAAATGTAATCATTATCTTGAGACTCCTGGTGGTTGACTCTTGGCACTCTTCTAAGTGATGAAAAGTACACAAGGATATACTTTTCAGCCAGACAGAATGGTTGAAGGAAAACTGTTTTAGCAGATTATTCATGTGGGAAATTTTCACCTTTCTCCAGGCCTTGTGGATCCTGATTTGGAGATGCTAGGTGCTTTTTGTTAGAGTTGGAATCATAGAGTTAGAGAAACTTGGAAAGGAAGGTCATGTGGACTAACCCCCTTATCTCAGAATGAAGAAATGAAAATACAAAGTCTGAGGTGATCTGCTCAAGATGAATATTAAAGTGGAGTTCTCTTGCCTTCTAGAAAGTATTTTTCAACTTAATGGAATGGGCCACTCAAGGCTGGGATTGGATGGGGAAGGGGCAGGAGGCACTTGCTAACATGCACTGTACTAAGTACAATATGCCTTCTGTGGAACATAAACCCATATCTAATATTTCTTAATGACCTGTAGTAGAGAACTTCTGGTTTGGTTCTTGTGTAGAACAGAATTTGCTGTCTTAGGAACCAAGCATTTTTGATGTTTATGGTGAACATAAGTGCTATTGACTGAATTGTTTCCCCCCAAATTTGTATGTCGAAGACTTAACCCCAGTGTGATAATATCTAGAGGTAGGTTCTTTAGGAAGTAGTTAAGGTTAAAAAAAGGTCATAAGGGTCAGGTTCTAATACAATAGGATTGTGGCCTTAAGAAGAAGAGGAGGAGTGAGAGAAAGAGGGAGAGAGAGTGAACGAGCGAGAGAGATCACTGCTCTGTGAGGACATAGTGAGAAGGCAGCTGTCTGCAAGCCAGGAAGAGAGCCCTCACCAGAAACTGACCTTGCAGGACCTTGACCTAGGACTTCTGGCATACAGAACTGTGAGAAAATAAATTTCTGTTTAAGCCACACAGTCTATGATATTTTTGTTATGGTAACTTGAGATGACTATTACAATAAGGAATACATATAAATGCACATGTCTCAACCCATGCCCTTAATACTTTTGTCATTTTTAATTTATTCAAGTCAATTACATATAACCCCACCAATTAGAAGTGTTAGCATTTATGTGTACTGTATAACCATCCAGACTGTGGCTCTGTTAATCTGGACTGTGAGCTTTTTCTGCAAGAAAATAAATAAATAATGCTTTTAGCACCTATTCGCAATCTCAAGTATTGTTCTTACCTCCCTTTCTAAGGGCTCATATTCTTAATCACTGAGGTTACAGGACGTGGAAGCCATTTTTTTCTGCTATAGCGTAAAGTTCCACAAGCGAAACAGTAGGTGGATCAACTTTGATCAAGTGCCGATGAGGTGACACAATCACAGGGCTTAGTGTAGCCAGAGGGTTTGAACCTTGGAAGTAACCATGTGGGTCACCAGTAACTTAACTCCTATCTAAAGCAGTTGTCCAATAGTCATTCACCCCTTACAATGACATGGTATTTACACTGTGCCCAAAATTGCCTACCTTTAGCTCCTATCCAACAGTCCTCAGACAGTTTTTTGGGTACTTTCACAAGGTGATTAACCTGCCTTCCAGTATTTGAAGTCAGCTGTTGTGTGCCTGCCCTAGTACCTCCAAGTCTTCTCCAGGAGACATCTCTCACATCCTTTGGACCCAAGTCACATGGATGGGGAACCATGCTGATTGCATGTTAGGTGTGCTCAAGTTTCCTCATTATCAGATTTCTTTGGATTCTGATTCTATCATCCAACACATATGCTCTCCTTTCAGTGTTGCTACTTGCAAATTTGATAAAAGTGCTATATATCTATGATAGATCCAGCAGCCTCTGCATTTGTATACTAATCCAACTCAAGATTAGACTCATTTCAAAGTGCCTAAAGGAAAGCATGAATATTGTCAGGTAAGCTGGAATTGGATGTTAACTCCCAGTGTTCAATTACATCTGGTACCTATCCTTTTCCTTAAGGCATTAATTCTACCCTGGGTAGTATAAGTGGTAAACTGAGTGGGAGCAGATGAAAGGCACATGATGAAGGTGAAATATGTGTATTGCTAAGTGAGTATTTACACCAGTTGGGAAAAACAATTGCTTACCTACTGTAGTTTTGTCCTGTATTTTTTTTTAATGACATGCAGCTATTCTTTTAGCTACAAGGTTCACTTCCCTTTGCCAACCAAGGGAATATTTTTTTCCCATAAGTCCACTATAAAAAGAGATTGAGATTTATTGCCCTGAATTCATTTATGAATTGCAAAACTGACAGCACTAAGGCTTTGTTGTAGCCTTATGTTATTGTGGGCAGTTACATTTATAGAGAAAGGAAAAAGAGGTAATGATGACAGAGCCTGGGGTAGATCTAGGCAGGTGTCCCCAAACTATGGCCCGCGGGCCGCATGCGGCCCCCTGAGGCCATTTATCTGGCCCCCCGCCACACTTCAGGAAGGGGCACCTCTTTCATTGGTGGTCAATGAGAGGAGCACAGTATGTGGAGGAGCACAGTATGTGGCGGCCCTCCAATGGTCTGAGGGACAGTGAACTGGCCCCCTGTGTAAAAAGTTTGGAGACGCCTGATCTAGAGCATGCTGTGTAGTAGAACTGCATTTGCTAAGTGAAGAAACCAGGGCTCAGAGAGGAAAGGAATTTTTCAGGTCACACAGGAGAAGTTACTGCTCAATACATAAGCAAGGTAACTTAAGACAATGTATAGGATGTAGCTTAGATTTGTGGTGATTATTTGTGAATATACCCAGGAGAACTTCTAAAAGTGTGGTCCCTGAGCCATGAGTATTAGGACCATCCTTGGTAATTAGTGTGTATTCCTGGGCCCCTTCCCCAGAGATTCAGATTCAGTGAGAGCAAAGGATGTTCTCTTGTCATAATTTTGCAAAATTATAGTATATATATTATTACTTCTTTCCTTTTATGATTTATGACTTAATCTTTTGTTTACAACATCTAACTTCTGTGTCTCCCTTACGTAGAATGTTTTCTTGCTGAATATTGGTATTGTTGATGTCTTGAGAGGAACAGATGGAGTAATTCGTTGGCAATGCTTTAGCTCCCATGTTCTCCAAGTATTGGCACATGGACAGCAGCATTAGCATCAACTGGGAACTTGTTAGAAGTACAAATTCTCAGGCTCTATCCTAGACCTAATGAATCAGAAACTGGGAGGGGGGCCAGCAGTCTGTGTTTCACCATGCTTTTCAGGTGATTCTGATGCACATTCAGGCTTAAGTATCAGTGCTTTAGGTAACTAGTAAAAATGCTTTCAGGGCTGGGCTGTAGTAGCTAGCTAGAACAGACACTTAGGAAAAGATAAAGATATATTTTTTTAAATTCAGCAGGCATTTTTCAAGAACCTATTACATCTAAGCATGTGTGCAGAGAATGTAGGAGATGAATAAGAGACAATTGTTGCCCTCCAGAGACTTACAATATCATAGAAGGGATAAAGTAAGAATGCCAATGACCAAATAAAATAGGTGAAGTGTTTTAAGTGGGATTCAAAAGTGGGATAGCCATATCTTGGGATGTGCATATAGCTTTTGCAGGTCTTTGCGACGTAACACTCTCTTGCCTTCGGGATGCACTGACCTACAATGATCCATGAACAGAATACTCTTGTTAGAGGTAAGAAATGAAGTGAAATATAATAAACACATTCATATGAGGGAAAATGTGTATTGTACATACTTCAGCATCACAAGTTTCCATGCAGCTAGGTTTTGGATCTCTGATTTATTTTCATGGAGGCTGGACCTGAATTTTAAGGGGACAAACAACTGGTGAGGAGAGAATCCATGGAGGCAGGGATAGCTGTGGGGGAGAATAGAAACGAACTCTATTACTATGATTATTGTTGTTATTATTACCACGTGCACAAAGAGAATACAAAGAGTCTTTACTTTGGTCTCTGCTTCACATTGGGGACATGGAGAAATGATGTAGTTTTGTCTTCTGAATCAAGCCCTGAGATTTTCCATCTGCTTCAGAGCACTACATTTCCCACCCTGAATCAGATTTTGTTAGAAGAGAATTGGCCTATGGATATAAAGGCTTTTTCTTGACTCGAGCAGAAATTCTCTGACTTGGGGGAGGAGAATGCTCTGGAAAAGAAGGAACCTGGCTGACAAGTCACTACCTTCCATTCTGATCAAAACCTAAGTGAATCAGCCTGGGTGTGGAGACTCATACCTATAATTCTAATATTTTGGGAGGCCAAGGCAGGCAGATTGATTGAGCTCAGAAATTCAAGACCATCCTGGGCAACATGGTGAAACCCTTATCTCTAGCAAAAAAATACAAAAATCTAGCTGGGCATGGTGATGCATGCCTGTAGTCTCAGTTACTTGGGAGTCTGAGGTGGGAGTATCACTTGAGCTGGGCAGATGGAGACTGCAGTGCGGCATGTTTGCATTGCACTGGATAACAGAGTGACACCCTATCTCAAAAACAAAAACAGAAACTCCCTCACTGAATCAGAGAGAGGAAAAATGGCAAGAGAGCAGTTTCCAAAGATGCAACATAAACAAAATTAAGGATATTTATGAATGTATAACAAATACTTAAATATTTATCAAGGTTTAAATTGTTTTCCTAGCAGTAGTTATTCCTAGAAAAATACCCAAACTGAGAATTCGTGAATGCCATTGGCTTAAAACAATTGCTTAACTATGCCTCTAAGCAACCACCTTAGGAAGAAAAAAATTATAGGAAATGTTTTTTTTTTTTTTTTTTTTTTTTTTTTTTTTTTTTTACCAAAACAATGCTTCTTTCAAATATCTATAAATATTTTGAATATCTATAATTGAAAATATTGATAAAATGAGAGAATTACAAAACAAAAATTAAAGAATTAAAACCTTCCTCTTTCCTACAAAAAAAAAAAACCCAAAAATCTTAAAAACTAAGAAGAATGGAAGTAACAGATTATCAATGAGTTGATCATTGATAATGCCCCATCTCAAATGCCCTGTCTTCCAAGGATGTTTCCTTTCAGACCATTGAATATCGG